GTGTTATTATGTATGGATGATGCAAATACCATCTCTACTATCTTTTTGAAGGATTGATATTAGCCATCCGTACATTTACTTCCTTTTTGAAAAGTTTTTATTTAATTGTCTATTACGTAGTAAACTCTGAGGGTCACAAACTAGTTTCAACTTTCTGCTACATCCAAATGACCTGAAACAAAAACTTTTTCTTAGGTCGGTCTTGTTCTTCTAAGTTGATGTTAATTTCATGTATTTGGGTTATAACACTACAGAAAATGTGCAAGTAATCTCTTTCCATCCAATTAACGCATTTTTTTCTCTCCCTTCAGTTAGACAAACCGGTGAGCCATGCACTGTCGATGAGCAGTGTGAATTCAACGTCATGAATTCAGTGTGCGAAACAGGAATATGCGCGTGTAAGGATAACTTCACGCTCTTTCGGGACTTCAATGTTTCCACGTGTATTTCAGGTACTTCAAAAGTAATCTTTAATTATATTTACTTGTATCATACAACTTGCTTTAACTGGAATTGGGCAGTTGTCACCTGATAGTTAAATAACAGGCTTAGCGAAAATGGTTCCATGTAGAACAAGAGTCAAAAATTGTTATTTTGACTTTCAAATTTCTTGCTTTAACGAGTGGTTTTAGTTGAATGTTGTAGGACATTTATCTGGTTTAAATATTTAACGAGGACTGAAAAAGACTGATATCAATGAATGAAATACAAAATGTACCAGTAATCCAGAAGGATTACACTGTTACATTAAGTGGTAAAAATGATAAAAATGTTCATATGTACTTTCGTGATTTTTAAACACTTTATTTGAAAAATTTAAAACTAGAATGGTACTCAGTCGAGCGCTTACCTCCGCCACGCACCGTTGATTATATTCGGCTCTCAAAAAATTCGAAAATGTGTCCGTATGTCCGTCGTTATCAACGGACACAGACCATATTTGTCAGGATAATGAGGATTAATATGTCCACCAAGTTTCATCAGAATCTTATCATTTCTGACTGAGTTGTAGAGCAAACATATTGTAGAAAGTCGGTCCCCATGTTAATAGATAGATATGGATTTTAGTGACTAGATGATCAAGCTGGCAGAACAGTATTTGGAAGTCCATGGAGGAAGTATAAATGGTAAGTCGAAGAATAACCAATCAAAGTCGAAGCCAGGGGTGGCTGACCAGAAGCAGGATGTTAACAAAAGTTGTCACATCAACAGAGAAAAGAGAGAAGAGATGCTATACTTGTTATAAAAGTGGGCACATTGCAATGAGTGCAAGTCTGTCACCAACAAGCAACAGTAGAAATATCAATATAAAGCAGCTGGAGCTACCTATACAGATGATGCTGGTAAGAAAAAAAGAAAAAGTGACTGTCACCATGAATGCTGTTACCAGAAGAAACAGAATAGAGACAACTCGTCAGATTCACCACAAGAAGGAACAATTTTCATGATTGATCAGTGTATGACTAATGGTCAGCTCAAGTTAGCAAATAGATCAACAGCGTCAGTAGTGATCGGAATGTTCTTGATGTTTGTCGTGACAACAAACCACAACATGCCAATAGGTGAAGGTTATGTGACAAACATCAAGAGGTGATCACTACTGACATGTTGTGGTTTGTTGTCGGGATTGTAACAAACCACAACATGCCAGTAGGTGAAGGTTATGTGACAAACATCAAGAGGTGACAACAAACCACAACATGTCAGTAGTGATCGGATTGTAACAAACCACAACATGCCAGTAGGTGAAGGTTATGTGACAAACATCAAGAAGTGACAACAAACCCCCAACATGTCAGTAGTGATCGGATTGTAACAAACCACAACATGCCAGTAGGTGAAGGTTATGTGACAAACATCAAGAGGTGACAACAAACCACAACATGTCAGTAGTGATCGGATTGTAACAAACCACAACATGCCAGTAGGTGAAGGTTATGTGACAAACATCAAGAGGTGACAACAAACCACAACATGTCAGTAGTGATCGGATTGTAACAAACCACAACATGCCAGTAGGTGAAGGTTATGTGACAAACAT